CCGGCACATGTGCCTACATATCAAAAATCCTGAAGGGATGGAGAAATGGAGGAAGAAGGGTTGCAGCATGACCCCTTCCCATTCGAGGGTGCTTTCTCTCTCTCTCTCTCTAGCAAGCACCCACTCTATTGGGAAATTAAAAGCAGCAGTAACAATAAAAGTGTCCTTTTTTAATCACTACATTTGAGAAAGAGATTTCTCAAGATCTCAACTCTTCAAGTGACTCCATATGTCGTTTCTGTTTGTTGGTTTGTTTTCAGATGATTGCAGTTATAAAGCTGGATGGACACACAATTTCCATCATAGTAATATACACTTATACATCTTACTTTTTGGACCATTTCTTTGTGAATACTGTTCATCTGTTCATAACTGTATACCTTTGTGACTATCCTTAGTATATGTGTTTATGCTGACCAAAATATTCATGTTATTATTGCCTATTTTATGACTTGAAGTGATCTGTGAATTTTTCTCTCTTATTTGTGTTTCTCAAACAAACCCCTCTTTAAAAATGCAAATTAATTTTTTAAATTATTTTTGTTACATTTTCCACAATTCTATCTTAGGGATTTAGATCTTTAGGAATTTTAGACATTAGGGATTTTCATCTTTTGAGAATTCAACATTTAAGATATGTTATATATTATTCTGTCATTTGGAATTATGATACAAACCTACATTGATCTTCCCTCATCATTTTGTATAGTTTACATATTCAGCTATGAAAAGTAAAGTCATAAAACTTTTAAAGTGACATAGAAGACCGTCTTTAATAATATCAGTAAATGTATTCATTATCTATTTATTGACCACAGCTTCAAGCATAGTCTTCATTGTGCATACTGAAATAAGGTCATTCAACTCAATTGACATTTTGCAGATGGCAAGATGATAAGCTTGACCAGCAGAAAATGTTGTAGGGACACTTGTAGGAGAAATTCTTGTGTGTTTTTCCTTGATTCTTCTTGTTTTCACTAATGTAGATACGAGAAGTACACATGGGAGATATTTAGTAATACTGGCCCATCACATTTCGGCAGTATCCTTGTGGCTAGACTTTCATTGAATCTTGAAGTTACACTGGACATTGACTTCTCAGTCTTTAATTATCTGTACCCTGTTGGAGTGTTTCTAGCTTGTCCATCCACCTATACTTGAAAGGGTGTCTGTTTCTTGTCTCTCCCAGCAATAGTTCCCTGCCTCCCAGTCTCAGTCCACCTGTACCCTGAAGGGGTAATTCCCTCTATCCCACCCTGAAAGAGCATATGAGTCAGTAAGACTTCCTATTAAAGTTAATTCCCTGACAAAGTTAATAAATATGTATATTAACTAACCTTATTCAAATTATTGTATATTTTTCATTTTCTGATTACACCCTGAATAAAATGGTAAGCAAATATTTATAAATTTATACTTAAAAGCACTAAAATAAAAACAAATTTATAAATTATATTTCATTAAAACTAAGAATATTTCTGGCCATTAAACATACCATTAAGAGCATGCACGTTCTATTGTAATTACAATTGTAATGTGATTATAATACATATTTCTTCATCCACACATTTACAACCCATATTAGAGCTCTTTCTCTTTTGGGGAGATGCAAGATGCTTTGGGAAAGTTTTCAATTCCTTCTGGAGATTAGCAAATGTTATTAGCATATGCTCTTTCTCTTTTAAAAAAAAAATTATTTTATTTATTTATTTATTTAAATTTGACCAGAGAGAGACAGAGTAAGAGAGTGAAAATGTGAGAAAGCAAGCTGCCAGGCCTTGGACTCACTGCAGTCAGCCATGTGGGAGTCTAACGTCCTTAACCACTATGCCCCTAGTACATGCTCTTTCTAAACTCTTTGCTTTTCTTCATGCTACTTTCTCTTCCCAGAATATCTTTCCTAGTAGTGTCCTGGTATGTGTTTAACAAAAGACTTACTAATAATTTTTTTAAGGTTTTTTTTCCTTAGGGCACATGCACTCACTGGAGAGAGATGGAAAGAGACAGAAAGAAGGAAAGTGAGAAATATCTCTATGGAGGGGATAGCTCTGCAATGTTCCCTTCTCCATGACTCTCTCAGGATTTTGGACAGACAAGCACATGCACCTGGCATGATGTTCAAGCTGCCAGATCTGGGACTTGAGCCTCAATTGGGCATTTGGGAATCCTGTGCCTTAACCACCACTGTTGCTCCTCATAAAGTGCCACCTGCTGTCCCCACTTCCTAATACATTTTGTTAAGAGTTTTTGTTTGTTTATTTGTTTTGTTTTGTTTTTCCCCTTTGGGCACATGTACTTGCTGGGAAGAGAGAGAGAGAGAGAGAAGTAGCAAAAGAGAAAGCGAGAAATCACCCACCTAAAGCCACACCACAATTCCTTCTCTTCCATTCCTCTCAGGATCTTGAACACACACACACACACACATACACATACACAGACACACATGCACACACACACGTACACAAGCCCAGAATTATTTTCAAGCCACCAGGCCTAAGACTGGAACCACAGTCAGCCATGTGGGAGTAAAGCGATGTAACAGCTATGCCATCAGCTTACCCCTTAAATTTATATATTTTTTAAAGCCCAGGTGCATAATGTTTGCCAACTCATGTGCTTTTTTAGCAATAAATCTTAAACTGCCAATTTGACATTACATAACACAGAGTTTTACCAAAATATGCACAACTGACTTTCATGAGTCAACCTCATCACACTACTTTTTTTACCCCCATTCTGTCCAATTAGTAAAAATTTGCTCCAAAATGTACATTTAAAGTGTAAGATTTTCTAATTCTTGATTTCTCAAGTGAAATTGATCATCCCTTAATAACAGTATTGTATAAGGTATCCCCCTTTTTCTTTATACTTTTTATCTTTTAATAGTGCCATTTGTTGGGACCTGCAGGTGGTATGGAATTTAAAGCTTTGAATTCCACATGGCCAAATACACAGTTTAAGTTTAGGACGCAGTGACTTGAAAATCATGCCAAGAATGTGTGTGTCTGTGTGTGTGTGTGTGTGTGTGTGTGTGTGCCCAAAATCTCAGGAGACTAGAGGAAAAGGGAATGCAGTGTGGCCATCCTCGGGGATGATTTCTTACTTTCCCTCTTCCCTGTCTAGTGCATGTGCCCTACTGCAAACAAATAATATACACTTTTAAAGTGCCATTTGTTATACTTGATTCTACTAATTTTTTATATATGTATCTCCACTATTAAATATGCATTATTTAACAGTAAGATCATGTGTTTTGCTGATGATATAGACACAGTGTTGAAAGCATTAACTGCCACAAGATGTATTTTATTTCAATATGTTTTCCTTGACTAAGTGAAAAATGCACTAAAACTCACACTGACAACTATTTCAGGAGTACTTATGACTCCCGAGGAAGACCAGCTGCATAGCATTATACTGAAGTAGCAGTCATGGCTGCTGCTGGTAAAATGTATAGCTGAGAGAAATGTGAATATACACGAAACAACAAAACATCATCAATGAAAACATATGTGTAGATAATCCTAGTGAAGAAGAAAAAAAATAATTATCAATAATAATTTTAAAAAATGATAGGGCCAGAGGGAGCATGCTGGTTAAGATGCTAGACTCCCACATGGCCAACTACAGTTTGAGTCCTGGACCTGGTGGTTTGAAAATCACACCAAGCATGTGTGCATGCATACCCAAAATCCTGAGAGAAGAAGGGATGGCAGTGTGACCATCCTCTTGAGGGGTGAATTCTCACTTCCACTTTCACTTTCTCTCTCACTCCCTATGGCAAAAGCCTAAAACAAAAGGAAAAAAAAAAGCGATAAAGGCATGACAATACTAAAGATCTACAAAGGCATGTAACACAAGAAAAAAGATTATTAAAGGATGAGAGTGAAGATTGTGCATAACTCCCCACCCTTCTCACAGATTAAGACAAGAAATTCCATTTTATAATGCTAAATAGAGTCTACATAATTATACAGATGTTTAGAGACATACTGTCAGGCTTTCTTGAACAATTCTCATGCATCTGCCTAAATATTTGCTGGAAAATTTAGAGAGCTTATAGATCTACAGTAGCAATGAAAGAAAAGACAAAGCCCTGCCCAGTGATGAGATTAGGACTTAGTCCCAAAGCAACAGCCATAGCAGCAGTTCAAAATCCAAACTTTCACTAGGAACTCAGAAATCTTCTTATAAAAAACATGACATCATGACACAAGAAACAAAATATGGACAAACATATTAGGGAAATAGAAAGAAAAAGATAATTGATTTTTGAGTTTTAGATTATTTACAGAGACTATTTAGCATAGTTACATTTCTTTAAAAATACTGCTATTATCAATCATAATAATTTAATAATATCAAAACATTTGTACTTTTAAAAATATCTTTATCTCTATTTTAAAAAAGAGTTTTGTTATAGGGCTCATGCCCTTTGCCAGAGAGAGAGAGAGAGACAGAGAGACAGAAAGTGAGAAATCACCTTCCAGTGGAGATGACCACACCACAATTGCTTCTCCTCCAATATTTTCTCAGGATTTGGGGCACATGCTCGGTGTGAGTTTTAAGCTGGTGGGTCTGGGACTACAACCATGGTCAACTATGTGAGAGTCCAACAATGTAATCATAACACTATCTGCTTTTCCCAAAAAATATTTATTTATATTATACACATAATCTGCTATAAGTCTCATAATGATCTTGAGAGATTAATCCTTTGTAGTTATTACCACAAGTTGGTGAAGAAAAAAACTTCAATCTCATAGATGTTAGAGATGAAATGATATCACACCTCCAAGAATTCAAAGATTTAGGAATATATATATATACACACACACAAACAGACACACACACACGCACACACACATACATTATGCCATCCACTGGTCCCAAGATTTAGGAATTTTATCAAGTGATCAAGGCATAAATATTTTACTTTTCATATTAGAAAATAGCTTTGTTAAGACTTTAATTGAGAAAAAATGAAGCACAATGGTTACCTAAAGTCTTCTTCTTAGCCCAAATTTGTGGAGAATTCCTAGACGAATTTGCTTTGTTTTGACACTGTAGACAACAGGGTTGAGCACTGGAGGCAGAAGCAGATAGATGTCAGCCATGAGGACATGGACTATGGGAGAAAGATGTTTCCCAAAACGATGGACCATTGACACCCCAATAACTGGGACAAAGAAGATGAGCACCACACAGATGTGGGATACACATGTGTTGAATGCCTTTAGCCGCTCTTCATGAGATGCAATACCCAGCACAGCATTCAGAATCAGGAAATAAGAAAGAAGAATAAGGACTGAATCCACGCCCAGTGTGGCAATAACAACACATAGTCCATAAGTGCTATTAATCTTGGCATCTGAACAGGACAATTTTAGAATATCCTGGTGCAAGCAGAATGCATGAGAAAGGGCATTGGCATGGCAATAGTGATAGCGTCTGAGTAGCAAAGGTGTGGGCAGTACAACCCCCATGCTTCGGAACAAGCAGACCAATCCGATCTTGCCAATGACACTGTTGGTGAGGATGGTGGAGTAGTGCAGTGGACAGCAGATAGCAACGAAGCGGTCAAAAGCCATGGCCAGCAGCACTGAGGACTCCAGAAATGTAAATGTGTGGATAAAGAACAACTGAGCATAGCAAGCACTTGCCTGGATTTCCTGTGCATCCATCCATAACACAGCAAGCATGGTGGGGAGTGTAGAGAGGGACATTCCCAGGTCAGTTAGTGCCAAGAAAGAAAGGAAGTAATACATGGGCTGATGGAGTGAGGACTCTATCCAAATGACAGAGAGGATGGTAACATTACCAATAAATGCTACCAAGTACGCAAAACAGAATGGAATTGAGAGCCAAGAATGAGCATGCTCTAGTCCAGGAAAACCCCTCAAGATAAATATGGGCTCCATCGCATCACTACTATTCCACATCACCATGATGACCCGGAGTAACTCAGCATCAGTGAAGAGAGTTCTTTGTTATTCTTCTTTATCCTTCAATAATCTTTTGTGCATCCAAGCAAGGCAAATAGGAGAAAATATATCTTTTCTTTAACCTTACTGAGGAAGGAAGAATTTCTTATGGAAGGAACAAATGTGTGTATCACACAAAAACGGTTATCTCTGAGAAGATTGTGTTGGATTTGCATTGAGGACACTGAAAAATTCAAATAACACAAGAATAATGGACATTTATGCTACATTATGAGATGAAAATAGGAAAAAAAACTCAGAGAAAATGGCTATGGATTTGCATAAGGTTCCTGTCAGTAATGTCCTTGATTTAGTCAGTTATTTCTTCTAGGCTATGTTCTCATATATAACAACTGAATTGATCCCATGGACTCAGTGTAACTTATCTACATTCATTTTTATTTAATACTTTATAATATTTAAACATTTAAGATGCTTAATATTTTATTGATGAAATATAAATACTCCATTATATAAAAAGAGGGCATGAGCAAGAGGAAAAAGTCCAGCATTGAAGTATACCTGCATAATTTTTTAGCTGTCTAGTAGAGCAACTATTCCTTAACTTAAAAGTACTAATTTTTTGCCAGCCAGGTGGTGTGGTGCTTAAGAAAGCTGTACCCCACATAGCCAACTGTGTGGTTTGAGTCCTAGACCCCATGCCTTGAAGAACATACCCAGTGTGTATGCTTGCATGCCCAAAATCTTGAGAGAAGAAAGGATTGCAGTGTGACAATCCATCCTAGGTGATTTCTGACTTTCTCTCTTTCTTGCTCTCTCTGGAAAGTATACACATTCTATTGCAAAACTACAAAAAAAAAACTCATAGTTTTATATATTTATACACATACATGTATATATGTATAAATACATATGTTTAATTTTATAAGTAAATGTTTGTGTAGAAACACTAAGTTATTTCTTCCTATTTCAAAGTATAATTCTAAAGCTCTCTCTATATATATATTTATCTCAGATCATGGCATCTCTGCACATGCCTGGCATGTCTTCAGGGTGACCTGGTGATCTGAACCTGAGGTTCAACATGTAGCTTCTAGTACTACAGTTTGGTACGCTATAGATTCCTCCACCATACTGGGCCAATCATCATTTCTTGATTGATTGATTTTCCTTTTAAAATGATGTTTATGATAACATTTGTGAAGGAATAGTTGACCCAAATATTAAGTTTTTCTCCGATTTTATGACCCATTTGCACCTACCTCTGTGAACTCACAACAATCCTAGAAATGGATTCTAAGCATTCACCATCAGTGCCCCTTAGAAGCTCTTTCTTGTTCTTTAAAAATACAATTCTAATGTTGTGAATGACTTTGTCTAGGCAGTCCTGTTAGGGTAGACTGCTTCTCCAGTTTCATCCTCCTGTTCTCAACTCCTCCTGGGAGACGAACACATGCCAGCATTCTCCTGTTCTTGACCCTCCTGGGTCTATGGCACTGGGTACAGCAAAAAAGCACTACAGAGTTCTCTGCCCTTCCGACCTCTAGTTCCTGGCATTAGCCACCTAATGCCATTGACTATCCCTTAGGTAATGGTTTACCTACCTTGTCTTTTAGAGCCTGGACCCCAGAAATTTCAGCCTCCATAGCAATATCTCAGCATCCCCCTCATTTCCCCTGGTAGACCCTCAATCTCCAGCCTCTGCAGAGTCAAACACAGGATTCAGTCCTGGCATAAAGTAAAAATCTTTCCAAATGTGGTTTCAAATGCATATAGGGCTCCAGTATCTAGCAGTGATCTTTTATCATCTCTATTGTATTTTATTTAAATATTTTATTTATTTTTAAAATTTCCCTCTCCACTGATTCTTATTTCCATTTTGTACTGTGAACACTGAGCTATCTCAGGTTGCACAACCTATAATTCTGAAGAGAACTTAGAATTCAAATGTGAAGAACAGAATAAAATACCAAGCCACTCTCCCCATGTAATAAGAACAATTTCTTGCTTTCTCTCATTTTCCCTGAGTCTTGGTGTTCCCTATCCTCTAAGACTCTGAGTCTGCCCTGGTACTCTTCTGTAGCCCCAAGAAGTCTAAATTGGGCTCTAATGAGGGACCTTGTTCAGAATAAAGCAGTCAGCTACTCACACATACTGGTGGGTTACTTGTGCAGAGCATTTATTTTTCTTTGCCTCCAAACAAAATTTTCTGTGTAGCCTTCAATATCTACTAAAAGCCCTAGCTGATTGTATTTTTCTTTCTCCTCACTCAAGACATTTTGTTCTACTTCCTATTTCTCAACTGAACTCATTCAGACAACCTAGGAATTAACTCTGCAGCATAGAAAACACACATGCACATGCGCACACACACGCACATGCGCACACACACACACACACACACACACATAGAGATGTTTTCATAGTCAAAATAGAAAAGTACTTTCTTTTATCCCATGCCAGAAAATTATCCTATATTTTCTCCCTTAATTTTTCTCACCTTTGTATAAATCACATTTTCAATTCTTATATAAATAGGAAAAAATAAAGTCTATTCCTGCTCTTCAAGATTGTTTTTCTCCATTCTCTGAGTCCCCAGTGTACAGATTTCAATGTTTAGAAAACTTTAGGCTTGTCCATAGATTTGAAGTGGGAATAGGCAGAAATATCCCTGTTTATACTCTCCATTTCTTTCTTACTGTATGTAATTAAGGTATACAACATTATGTTTGGATATACACATACAGAGTGAAATGATTACAGTCAAGCAAATGTTCCTATTCATCACCTTTCATATTTATCTTTTATATGCATCTGTGACTGTGTCTGTGTGTGTGTGTGTGTTTGTGTGTATGTGTGTGTATGTATGTAGTAAGAGCATTTACTCTCTACTCTCAGCAAATTATCAGCATACAGAAAAATAGTACTTACGATAATCTCCATGCTATACACTACATCTCTAGATTCATTCATCCTACCTGACTGCAAATTTTTAGTCTTTAACCTGTTCCTCTCCATTTCTTCCCAGGGTCTGCCCAAGGATCCGCATTCTACTCTCTGTTCCTGTGTAAACTCCTCCTCCTCAGCCTTCACTAACTTCTGAATCATCATATCTTTCTTGTACTTTTTCTCAATCCCTTTATTGTTGTTGTCTTTTCTTTGTCTTCTGACTCTGCTTCTAGGTCATTGACAATGACTCAGTGTAGTTCTTTTAATGCAATTTAATCACACTAAGATTGGTAGCGAAATAGCAAGAAGAGACTGGGTATAATGTTGACTATTTCAAAAGGCAGAGGCATGGAAAGACTCGTGTCACTCACTCACCTAGTCCAGGTAATTGCGGAAAACCACTGGCAATAAGGCCATTTTCTTACAACCTGTCTAACATCTTAGGTGCAATCCTCCAAAACTATTTCACACTGACCAGCTGACATTCAAAATTTTTCAGTGGTGAGAGTAGGACATTATAATATGTCATAAATTTAAAATTCATTCAAAGAAGATAACATCCATTTCCCTATATGCTTAAATTTTGCATTGTAATTCTAATAATCCTATTCTTTAGCATTGTGTCTTAATAAAATATGCTGAAATCAACCCATTATTTATCTGTAATTTTAAAATTAACACTTGTATGAAATATACTCATAGGACTTCTGTAACAATATGATACTTAATCTGTAATCAGTAAATAGTCCATTTTCTAAGTGACACACAGTTCCACTTTTCTTCTCTAACTCAACTTCCTCTACTGTGACAAAATCACACTATTTCTGAAGTCTCCCTCTCTCTCTCATCTCATTAGCTGTGTGCACATATTTATATTTTCTATTCTGTTATTTGCTCCCATCTCTTTCTATTTAATCTATATAATCTATATTTAAATTCATGTCTTTTCAACATGTAATCCTTTTTCCCCTCGTCTTTTTATTTACTTTCTATTCTCATTTCTCTGTGTATTTCTGTGCTCTTAGTTATTTTTCTTTCTGCTTTATCTCTCACCTTTGAAGAGTTCCCATCTCCATTTGAAAGACCAACTGTATTGATTGCAGTTGTTTTTATTTGGATCTTCCATGGGCCCCAGATCTTGAAAACCATTGACTATGAGAGTAATAAGGCTTAAAAGATTTCATCATCTCTGTAACGCCTGTAGTTTCTCCTGGGGTAGAAAATTAGGGATTGCTGTTAAACTCTGCTGGATCCCTAGGGGTGAAATGACTATAAACAACCTTTAACCACAGCTATAATTAAAAAAAATGTGATTATAATCTTGGAAGTAATAGAAATATGTGCCTACTTTCATCCATATTGCCAGTCCTTAAAAATATAATAGTTTTCTCTTCCTAAATGAGCATAAGAGAGTAAACTCCTAAATGCATTGATCCATGGAAACACTGAAACTTCAGCTTTAGTAAGGACCACTATATAGCATCACAGTCTACTTGTGTGTATATATATATATTTTGTGTGTGTGGAGAGGTTTTTGCTATAGGGCACATGCGCTCGTCAGAAAGACAGAGAGAGACAGAGAGACAGAAAGTGAGAAATCATGCCCCAGGCGGGATAGCCATGCTACAATTCCTTCTCCTCCCTTCTCCTCTCAGTATCTTGGGCATGCACGCACACAGGCCAGTGTGAGTTTAAGTCATTAGGTCAGGGACTCGAACCATGGTTGACTACAAGGGAGTCCAGTGACATAGCCATTACACCAACTGCTGGTCCCAGCTTGCGTATAATTCTGAGTAAGATTCTGGGTGAGTCAGAATCCTTGGGTCTGTCCAGCAAGATTTCTATATTCCATGTATCAAGGCCCTTGGTTTTTCCTACTGAGATTTTTTTGTTTTTTTGAGAGGTTTTTGCTATAGGGCACATGGGCTCGCCAGACAGACAGAGAGAGACAGAGAGACAGAAAGCGAGAAATCACCTCCCGGGGGGGATGGCTACGCCACAATCTCTTCTCTTTCATTCTTCTCTTGGGATCTTAGGCATGCACGCACATGCAC